TTGCTTTTATTTTTTTTCTTTATTTTATTATGTTATTCACCATACATTACATCATTAATTTTTGGTGTAGTGTTCCATGATTCGTTGTTTGCATGTAACACCCAGTGCTCCATGCAATGCATGCCCTCCTTAATACCATCTCTGAGCTAGCCCATCCCCCCACGCCTGAAACCTTCAGTTTGTTTCCCGTAGTCCATAGTCTTTCATGGTTTGTTGAGACCTTACCAGTTTAGCCAGTTAGAATGGCCAAAATTGACAAGGCAAGAAACAACATATATTGGAAAGGATTTGGGAAAAAGGGAACCCTATTACACTGTTAGTGGGAATGCAAGCTGGTGCAGCCACATTGGAAAACAGTGTGGAAATTCTTAAAAAAATTAAAAATAGAACTACCTGAAGACCCAGCAATTGCACTGCTGGGTATTTACCCGAAAGACACAGATGTGGTAAAAAGAAGGGCCATAGGCGCCCCAATAGCAGCAATGTCCACAATAGCTAAACTGTGGAAAGAGCCAAGATACCCCTTCAACAGGCGAATGGATAAAGAAGATGTGGTCCATATACACAATGGAATATTACTCAGCCTTCAGAAAGGATGAAAGCCCAACTTTTGCGTAACATGGACGGGACTGGAGGAGTTTATGCTGAGTGAAATAAGTTAAGCAGAGAAAAACAATTTTCATGTGGTTTCATTTATAATTTGTGGAACATAAGGAATAGCATGGAGGACATTAGGAGAAGGAAACAAGCCATGCCTGTGACAGTCTTACACTCTTCCCTGGATATTTATAGCTTGCTTCCTCCTGCACCTTCCAGTGTTTCCTCAAATACTACTTTTTTTAGTAAGTCTTCTCTAAGCAATTCTTATTCTTGTCTGTGCTTTATTTTTCTCATAGCACTTTCCGTCTCATATACTGTATTAACCCATTCATGTTATTGTATCTTCTGTCTCTCCATATTGGAATATAAGTTCCATGAAGGCAGAGGTTTTGTTTGTACTATGTATTTCTATATGTCAGAATTTAGAACCGCCTCTAACATATCAGAGGCTCAGTAAGTATTTGTTGAATGAATGAACAAATGAATCTCAGATTACAGCCCAAATTTCTGGTTTTGAGATAGGATAAATTCAGTGATGGAAAATTTACACTTATATGTATTATATATCACTCACTCTATCACAAAACATAGTTAATCACTGGATGGAACATTTTGTTGATGTGAATTAGATTGAATAATTTCTTGGCTTGTGCTGTTTTGATGATAACCTTCACAACCTTAGAGTATGCATGAGTTTTATGTAGTACAGAGGAATCATCTACTTATTTATAGTTTGCTGTCTTAAGGTATGGAGCATAATTGTGAAATTGTGTGGGAAAACATGGAAACAATATTCTTGAGATAGAAAAATGCAGTTGGTAATGTGTGTGTAGTATAGAGGATTCTATGTACGCATCTGTATGAATAGCAGATCTAGAAGGAGAGTGGAATATGTTAATAGTCTATATAGGTGGCTCTTAACTTTTTTGTGGCTGTATTTTTGAAACCCAGATAATTATTTGCTCACCCTAGAAAAAGTGTATGCACTTCAGAATTTTATGTATACTTTAGTGTATTCATGGAATCGAAATGGGTACCCACGATAGTTATGAAGACTACTAGGTAAGGTTAAGCCTTTTGGTACGGATAGAATAAGTTACCAAGTGGAACATGTTGAGTCACCGAAAGATTTTGTAAGAGCTAAAAGTTCAGTTTTCACATAATATGTTAATCAACACATATTAATAAATGTAAATGTTCAGATTATTTATAAAGTAGATTGTTAGGACACAGAATGTTTTGATGTGTTAGGGAATGGGCAGTGTTGAAGGAATGATGTTAAGGAACAGAATGTATAGTACTCTGATTCTAGTAAACCATCTGGCCATTATAGTCAAAGAAGAAAGAGTAGGCTGCATGAAGTTGTAGACTGAGACAGGATCTGAGAAGTCAGTCAAAACCAGCTTCCCACCTCTCTCAACCCAGCCCCGGTGACATGATCATCCTAGTCATTTGAACACATCAGTAGTTGGAAACTGGAGCTCATAAAAGTTACTAGAGAATCTTCTTCCTGTTGGTTTTAATTTGATAGGTAGATATTTAGGAGTTTCTTCTTACTTCCTTTTCATATACCTTCAGATTTTAAAAAAAGTTATTGTTTTTGTGTTTTTTTTAACTCTAATTTTCTAGTCTCTCAGCATTCCCTCCCATGACTTTTTCTTTTATGGGCATGATGCTGTTTGTCATTATTCTTGAAATATGATGCCTAAAACTGCACACAAGATTTTGTTTATGAGGTCCGACAATCAGAAAGTATGTCAGGATTATCGCTTCTTTCAAAACTGTGTAGTGTTGCTGGTGCAGACCTAGGTTGCATCAGCACTTTTGGAAACCATAGCAGTCCTAACAATTGCTACAGATCACATGATATTCCAGGCAAAGTGCTAAACATTTTATATGTATTATATCATTCTATCTTTTTAAAAATCTTATAAGCTACAAACTATTATAAGTCTCATTTTAAAGGTGAGGAGAATGGAACTTAGAGAGATTTACTTGCCTAATACCACACAGCTAGAAATTGTGGAAGGTAGAATTCTAACTCTGATCCCTCTGTCATTGAAAACTGGGTTTTTTAGCCACTGTTTTACTATATTTAAATGCCATTTTGCACTACCAGATCTGCTGTGTTTGCTGTCAATGAAGTGTCTGAAGACTTTCACATTAATTGCTATTGAACCAGATGCTTTCAGTTCTTAAGTAGACTGGCATTTAATGTTGTTTGTGTTTATTTACAAGCTATTGTTACAGGTTGTTGAGATTAAATTTTTTTCTCATTCATATAACTGTTTTTCATAATATATTTTGCATAGCCTCAGCACTTCACAAGATGCCTGTAGTAGTCCGTTAATAAAAGTTTCTGCCCAAATTTGGTGATGACCTGTTAATTAGGAATTTTGGGTGATAGTTCTCCTACAATCTATAAATCTGTCTCACAGCACTATAAACCAGCCCGTGTTTCTTATTTTATCCACAGGGATTTTAATGAGTTGTTAAAAAAAAAGGTGTTACAGATTACTAATGACTTTTTTTCAAATCAAGAGGTGATAATTTTGTCTTCTTGCTGGAGAGCCAGGAAAATAGTGCATCTCAACAGTTTAGAAGTTTAGAGAAGAGTTTTGATGATAAACCCAAAATACTAGTTTTTTTTCTTTTGATAGACCAGTATAACCACCTGCCCTATATGATGTAGGCAGAGAATTATTTCACTTTACACAGTGGTAATAATAACATTTATTTATAAGACAGCTTATGCTAAAAAAAAAAAAAACCTTTTAAATACAATCTCATTTAATTTCTCCAGTTATATGTGAAGTATATGGCATTCATCTTGCCATATTTGCAATGAAGAACTGAAATTTAAAATCACTCAACTTGATAGTGATTTAGATCTCAAGACTTAGTCTTCTAGCTCCATGTCCTGTTTTCTTTCCATAATGTCACACGGCTTCTCAATGTAATAAACGAAGGCATTGGATGAGGAATGGCCAATGTAAGGGTTGAAAGCATAAAGTGTACTTTTGGAAATTAGACAAGATAGTTAAGAGTTCAAGGTTGAGTCTAATAAATTAGATTCACCTATAAAGAGTAAAGAAGAAAATATCCAGAAAGAGATAATGTAGAAATTTTTTGGCATGAGTAAAATTATTTAAGACTGCCATGCATTTGGTCACAAAAAAAGTTTTTTTAAGTATTCCTTAAATTGAGAGTAATAATTCTTATAAATTTAGTTTTTTGATATTGAAGAAATCATTGAAGACAGCAACATAAGTGTTTCTAGGAAAAACAATGTTATTAAGGAAGCTTAAGCTATAGACTTACTTGAGAATAAGCCACTGATACAATTTTAAGTAAAGCTTTTTAATGGGACAATTAAAATTTTTTAAATGTGTATAGGCATATTTACGAGAACTAGTTTAGTTTGAAGAGTTTTGTACTGTCAGTCATTAGTTTTCAAGCATGACATTTGAGCTTATAGCATCTCATACATCTACTCTCTAGATGAAAAAGCTCAGTGATGGTTGAGTAACACTGGTAAATACCTTTTCTATGAAGTTGCAGTCTGTATACTTTGAGAAGAATGAAGCTTCACTAAATACTTTATTTAGAAATAAAGATACTTACTATTTTAGATAAATAGTTTATCTTTTAAAATTATACTCACTTATTACTTCAGGTTAACACAATGACAAATTCAGAATTTTTTAGTGTGAAATTCATCTATGTTAAAGTAACATGGGAAACACCTGTGTTCAAAATGTCAAGTCTTGAAAGCTAAATAAATCTTTAACTGAGTATCGAGTGTATCATTGAGTTCTTTTTCATTATAACAACCATGAAAAATAACTAAATTTTTTTTCAGAAAAATAAACTGTAACCTTACTATGCCATTAGATGTTATTCAGTAGTCCTTGGTTAATTTTTAGCTTTACTATGAAGAAGCTTCAGAATCTGGCTTTTGGAATGGTTTTTATGTTATGACTATTTTACAAATGGAGAATATAATATGGATAAGAAGGACATTTTATGCATATTTTGCCAAAAAACTATGCAGATGGAAAATGTTCTAACTTGAGCACACATTTTCCCAGTTTTTCCAGATTCATGATTATAGCCTACAAGCCATCTTAAGAAAGGTTTGCAAACTCCACATTCTACATAAACATTTGCCAAATGAATTAAAGTGAACACATTTCACAATATATCCTAATGTCCATATCCCTTTCACCAATGAAATTGGACTCCGAAAAAGAAAGAAAGAAAGAAAGAAAGAAAGAAAGAAAGAAAGAAAGAAAGAAAGAAAGAAAGGACAATTAAATGTTGACTGTATGTGTGGTAGCAGGGTTGGATTTCATCTTAAACCTTGTATTGGTTATTTTCCATCACTTCTTACTTTCCAGAAGTGTTGTGGTACCTGTTAAGAAGCCACCTCCAGGTAGTTTGGCTGTAACCACTGTGGGAGCCACTGCTGCTGGAAGTGGGCTGCCAACGGGCAGTACTTCTAATATATTTGCTGCTACTGGAGCTACACCAAAAAGTATGATTAATACAACAGGTATTGTCCTTATATATTTTTGTGATACCTCATCTTTTTCTTTCTGTTTTCTTTATCTTCATTTTTCTGCTTATTTGATCTTAAAAATTAAATTGCTCTGATCATTTGGGATTGTCATAATCTTTAAGAAGGTTCTACTTTATGTTACCACCTTTCAGAATTTGTCTGTACTTCTAAGACATTTTCAGTGGTCATTTTAGAGGACACTATTGTTTTTGTTTTGAGTCCTCTCAAAACACAGTTCTGTTTACTTTCAGAGTTAAATCAGATTGCTGAAAGGTATTTGGGGAGCAAGACCAAAAGACAATTTAAACATTGAAGTTTGATATATAAAAATTAGTAAATAATATCAAGAATATCACAAAATATGTTAGTGATAGAAAATAGATTTAGTGACATTTACTGGTTGAATTCTAATGTATATTTTTTGCAAAATCCTCTAAGGAAAGGCAGAGCTCCCCTAAGAACCTGAATGGTTTGCAAGAGCCTCAAGGTGATGGGGAAAAAAATGTATGTGAATAAGAACCATTATTTGACATTGAATTAATTTATGTACTTAGATTACAGTTGTATCCAATTCATTGTCCAACATTTTCCTAATGATACTAGGAACAGAAAATTCCAAATCACTACAAATTTTAAAAGCCTGCCTAAAATAACCTTTATTTATGTAAATTTCCAGAAATGTTCCTGTTGATTATTAGCTAAATAAATCCTTACCCAAATCTTTGTGATTCCATTTTAGGTATTTATACAACGCAAGATGATCCCTGACTTTTCTTCCCTGACTATAGTAGCCTTCTCTTCTCCAAACTGTATAGCCTTGAACTTTTCCATCTATTATCATTACTTAAATTCTTCCCATTTTTATTAATTTCATAGCTCTTCTATGTGCTTTCTGTATTTATCCTGTTTATCATACCACCTGAGTCTGACATATCATGACCAACACATTTATGGGGTTTTAGTAAGTAGAATATACTCTATCAAGCATATTTATGTTAGCAAATAAACATTAGTAATGGCATTGTGTTAAAGAACATAGCACCCTTAGTTTATCTATATTATAAATAAATATATCCAGCTTGTCTGAAGACTTCAAAGTTTTTCTATACAGTTTATAATCTCATTCTATATATTCATTCTGCTTTCTAGAAATAGGAAGAAAAATACTGTTTTACCAAAATATATATCAAAAAACATGTTAAGATTTTGAAAATATGCCAGTATAGTTGAAAGAAATCTACATTTAGTGTCTAATGAATAATTCCTTATTTTTAAGAGAGAGGTTAAAGGAAAATTAAATTACCTCTTTTTTATCTTTATATGAAACAAGTTATATTTCCTTATCATTTCTATTTTATGAATTAATAATAGATATAGAAAGTGATGGTAGCAAGAAATCTAATGAGAGTATAAAGTACATAATATTACAGTGGAAAATAAAATGTAAGTAATTAAACGTCCGCCTCAGAAATATGCACAGACACACCTACACATACACACACACACTCATACACATTTTTTATACCAACACTTAAACCGGGCCCATTGTCCAGTTTAGTTTTTGGCAGTTGTAGTTTAGTGTTTTGGCAGTTTTGGCAGGTTAGTGTTGCAGCAGAATCCCAGTAGCAGTTCAGTTTTATGAGAATTAGTGTGAGATAAGATAATATTTAGGAACACTAGATGTCCCTCAACTCCACAGCTCTTTAATATACTTACATGGTGTATTATAGAAAAGTCTGTTCCAAAGTCATCTTGGTATCGTTGAGGAGAACTCATTATTTTAAAAGCAGGTACAATTATATTCATTATAGCCCTTCTTAAAACAATCATTTTATCAAAATAAGCATTTGATGCTTCAGGGCCACAAATTTATGCTCAGTTCGTTGTAAATTATATCTTAGATGGTGAAAATTAAAATATTACAATATAGCAATAAAAATAAATTTTTCATTTCTAAATTTGAATTGTTTATCAGCCTCATTTTATCTAAAATTATTTTCATTTGTTGATGTCTTTTATTTATACCCCATTTGTAATAATGTACTTCTGTTAGATTATTATAAGTAAATCAACTGGATTTTAATGCAACAGCTATTATTTGTAATTTATAATTATAAGAGTTATAATTTATAAGAGTTATTAGTGTATAATGGCCAAATGATTTTTTAATTGTTGAATTCTGTTTTGAAATTCAGATGAGTAAATCTTCAAAATCAGATAGTAATGATATAATGAAAATTATTTTGTTAAATAAATTTATGCTTAAGGCTAAAAATTATTATTTTGGGAACAGGTGCCGTGGATTCAGGGTCCTCCTCCTCTTCCTCCTCTTCTAGTTTTGTGAACGGTGCTACCAGCAAAAACCTTCCAGCTGTACAAACTGTCGCTCCAATGCCAGAAGACTCGGCTGAAAACATGAGGTATACATAACAACTTTTATACTCATTTTCCAACTCCATCTTCAAACATAGTGAAACACTACACAGTAAATACAAAGGTATAGTTAAGAATTCTTGAGAAGAGCTAATTATGAATTTTGTGCTGTATTGCATAATTGTATTGTTCTGGCATTTTTAAAAGTCACTCACTATATTTCAGAGCCTAAACAGAGGTTTAGCCTAAACAGATGCTCAGTGACCGTGCTGGATTTGTCATCCATTGTCATATAGCATGTTACTATTTCTGTTACAGTAAAAACATGAACAAATGGTAGCATGATAACATTGTGCATCTTTGCAGTGGTGATGAAAAGTTTAAAATACAGACTTTCAAAATAAATCTGCAAAATTATATGTAACACATGTAATTGAATAAATGAGCATTATCTTTTTCTTCATGCTGAATAGATAAAAATTTATGGTAGCACATCACAGAGCATTCCTAGAAGACTAGTCCACAGTCTTAGAGTTAAATGACACACACATACGTGTGTGTGTGTGTGTGTGTGTGTGTGTGTGTGTGTGTATTCATTCATGTTTTACACTTGATCTTAGCCAAAAGGCCGAGAAGCGATGTGTATTCATGTTTTAAATTCAAGAATTACACAAATGCAGAGTATAAAAACTCAGTGAAACAGTGAAGACACTCATGTTACCATCACCCAAGTCAGGAAATACAGTGTTCCAAGTACCCCAGAAGCCCCCACCTTGTGTTCCTTTTCCTGTCAGTAATCTTGCTCCTCTTCAGATTTATAATCCTGACTTTTCATATGAGGGCATCTTTGTCTTTTTTTGAATTTTATGTAAATGAAATTGCACAGTACATGTTCTTTTGTTTTGGAGCGTCTTTTGTTCAACCTTGTTTATGAGATCATCTACGTTGCATGTAGTAATAGTTTATTTTTATTCCATTTTTATTCCTTTGTGGTTGGATACTATAATTTACTAGTCTTTTTTACCGATGATGGGCATTTTGGAATTTTCTAGGTTTAGACTATTACAAATAATGCTGCTTTTTATGCAGTGATGCTGCTTGCACATTACTCTTGAGTGTGCCACACGTTTGCTTGCGTGCATGTCTGTGGGGTAAATAACAAGGAGTAGAATTGCTGATTCACTTGATTGTGCGTGTTCAGTTTTACTAGATAATCCCAAACAATTTCCCAGAGTGCTTATAAAAGTTTACTAATTCTGCAGCGGCGTATGAGAGTTCCTGTTTCTTCATAACTTCAATGGTACTTAGTACGGTCACTCTTATATTTTAGACTTTTGGTGGAAGTATTTCCTCGTATTTGTAGTTTGCATTTTCTTTGTGGTTAATGGGTGAGCATCTCCGTACATATTTATTGGTCTTTTGGTTTTATTCTTTTGTGATTTGCCTGTTGAAATCTCTTTCCAATTTTTAAAAATTGAGTTGTTTTTCTTCTTGTTAGTAATTTGTAAGGTTCTTTATGTATTTGAAAATGGCTCGTTTGAAGATTATATGTCTTATATATATCTTCTCCCATTCTGTGACTTCTCTCTTCATTTATATGCTCTGTTTGGGTCCACAGAAGTTGTAATTTTACTGAAACTCAATTTGTCAAGTCTTTCTTAGTGCTTTTTCTATTATAGATGAAATTTTTGCCTACGTTTTCCCCACCTTATCTCCTGGCTGCTTTATTATCTTTTATATTTATACGTACAGTCCATTTAGAATTGAGTTCTGTAGATTTAATGGAGGTAGAGTAATATGAATGTCAAGATGACCCAGCATCATTTACTTAAAAAACTCTTCCGTCCTCCTATCTCTGCCACTCTGTCACAGATCAAGTGCCCCTAAATGCTGGATTTGGTTTGCCACTCAGTTCTGCCCCATTTGCCTGTGTGTCCTTGTGCCATACTGTCATAATTAGCTTTAGGTTTAATAAAGGTCAGTATCTGGTTGAATAAGATCTTTCCACTTTGGTCCTTTTCTTTTTCAATAAAGTCTGAAATATTCTTGATACTTAGCATTTCTATTTAAATTTTAGAATCAGTTTGTCAGTATCCATATTAAAAAAATCTTGATGGAGTTTGGCTATGAATGGTATTCATGGATCTAGTACAACTAAAATCTATATTGCATGTATAGATCTCCTTCAGTATTGAAATTTTCAAACTATGAGCATCATATATTCTTCCCATTTCTTCGTTTTGTTTTTGAGTTTTTCCTAGTAACAATATTTAGTTTTCTAGGCAGAAATTTACACGTTCCTATTTCATTTATTCTTAGGATTTTAATATTTTGTATTTATTGTTTTTCTCTAGTTAGTTTTCAAATCAATATTATTGAGACCATTTATTTATATTGTTTCAACTCAATAAAAATACTCCTTTCGAGTATACTTTTGAAACAACGGACTTTATCATTTTAATGAGTTTTGATCAGTTTATATACCTATAAAACCACCCATTACCCCAGAAAGCTCCCTTTTGCTCCATATGTAATTCATTCATCTTTGCCTCAGGCAAACACTTATGTACTTTTTTAAAATTTATTTTTATTTTTTTAATTTCTTTTCAGTGTACCAGAATTCATTGTTTATGCACCACACCCAGTGCTCCATGCAATACCCGCCCTCCATAATACCCACCACCAGGCTCACCCAACTTCCCACCCCGCCCCTTCAGAACCCTCAGATTGTTTTTCAGAGCCCATAGTCTCTCATGCTTCACCTCCCCCTCCAGTTTCCCTGAACTCCCTTCTCCTCTCCATCTCCCCATGTCCTCTGTGTTATTTCTTATGTTCCACAAATAAGTGAAACCATATGATAATTGACTCTCTCTGCTTGACTTATTTCACTCAGCATAATCTCTTCCAGTCCCGTCCATGTTGATAAAAAAGTTGGGTATTCATTCAACCTTTCTGATGGAGGCATAATATTTCATAGTGTATATGGACCACATCTTCCTTATCCATTCATCCGTTGAAGGGCATCTTGGTTCTTTCCACAGGTTGGCGACCGTGGCCATTGCTGCTATGAACATTGGGGTACAGATGGCCCTTCTTTTCACTACATCTGTATCTTTGGGGTAAATACCCAGTAGTGCAATTGCAGGGTCATAGGGACTTATGTACTTTTTAATAGTGTAACTTAAATTTGACTTTTCTAGGGTTTCATGTAGATGGAATCATACAGAATATATTTTTATGTGTATCTCTATTTCCTTCCACTCAGTTTTTGAGATTCTGAGATTTATCAATTTCTTTTTGTTTTCTGTGGACATTTAATATTCTGTGGGTATTTGAGTATAAGGCTTGTCTTGGACATACATTCTTGGGTAAATAACTTAGAGTAAAACTGCTGGTTGTATAGTAAGTATATGCTTATCCTTATAAGAAACTGCTATTTTGCAAAGTGGTTGTATCGTATTATATTCCTGTCAACAATGTGTAGAAGTACCAATTTGTTCTCCATTCTTGTCAACACTGGTATTGTTAATCTTTTTAATTTAAGGCTTTATATTGGCTAGGTAAGCATATCTCATTTGGTTTTATTTTCAGTTTTCCTAATGATTAATGGTGAGAAGGTTTGTTTTTTTGTATGTGTTATGGGCCAGTGAAATCTTTTGCTGTTTAAAAAAAATTAGATTGTTTTTCTCACTGAGTTGTAAGAGTTCATTATATATTCTGAATATATGTCCTCTGTTAGACTACATAATTTTTCTGTTCACTTTTATATTTTTATTTTGTTAAAAGTGTTTAGAATAGGAACTTTCTAATTTTGATAAAGTCCATTGTTTCAAAAGTCTTTTCTGTTGTGGTATGTGTCTTAGTGTCCTAAAAAATCTTTACCCCAAAGTCATGAATATATTCTTACATTTTCTTCTAAAATTATAGTTTTTAGCTTTTATAATTAGGTCTGTGATCCATTCATTTAATTTCTATGTGTATGGTGGGGAAAATGTTGGGGTTTGTTTTTATTCATTTTCATATCAGTTTTTCAGCATCATTGAATTATCTTGGCACACTGGTTTAAAATCAGTTGACCACCTATGTGTGGATCTATTTCTAGATTCCATACTGTTCCATGACCTATATGGCTATTCTTATGCCAATACCTTACTGTCTTCTTCACTGCAACTTTACAGTAAATCTTTAAAGCAGGTTGTACAAGTTTTCTAACTCTCTACCCTTCTACAGTTGCTTGACTGTCCTAGGTTATTGGCATTTTCATATAAATTTTAGAATTTGTTTGCACTTGACAGTTTGTAAAAGAAAACAGCTGCAGTTTTAATTAGGATTTTGTTGAATCTTTAAATTTAAGGAGAATTGATGTCTTCATAATATTGAGTCTTCCAATCTTTGAACATTATCTATATCCATTCACTGAGATCTTTACTTTCAGCAACTTAATGTAGTTTTCATTGTAAAGGTCTTATGCTTACTTTTGTCATTTTTATTATTTTTACTTGTCTTTGATGATATTCTAATTAAATTTTTTACTTTAAATTTCCAATTTTAAATTAAAAGGCAAACAAAAAAGTGCCAATACTGTATGTCTCCATTTATACAAAATGCAAATAAATTTATCTTAACACAGAGGAAATTGATGACTGCCTGTGTCAATTATACCTCAGTAGACCGAAGAAAAATGAAACATGTTACCTGGATGTTTATTGTGTATAGAAAGACAAGTTGGGGTGCCTGGGTGGCTCAGTGGGTTAAAGCCTCTGCCTTCGGCTCAGGTCATAATCTGAGGGTCCTGGGATCGAGCCCCGCATCAGGCTCTCTCCTCGGCGGGGAGCCTACTTCCCTTCCTCTCTCTGTGCCTGCCTCTCTGCTTACTTGTGATCTCTGTCTGTCAAATAAATAAATTTTAAAAATCTTAAAAAAAAAAAAAGACAGACAATATTTTTGCATATTTGACTTTATATCCTGTAGCTTTGCTTAATCCACTTAATTTTAGTAGACTGTGGTGGTTTAGAACTATTCTTAACTCAATAATTATATTATCTGT